AAACTTTTTGGTTTAGTGACTTTGCATTCTGGCAAAGGCACAATAAAGAAACCAAACAGATTCCCTTGACCTTTCAGTCTCTATACCTATTCCTTAGATCTTTACTTCATTCTTTTTATTTCTAATATAGAAAGATACTGTATTTATTGTTACAAGTGAACATAGGTCAAAGTGTACAGGGGATCAAGAAATGTTATTCTTGTATAACCTGTGCACTTTGACTTCTACCATCTTAAATTACTAACCCTGTATAAAATACTGCTGTAAATGGCAGCTCATGGAATAAAGTTGTAGAATTATTTGTTTCAATCTTGTATCTGAGCTTCCATTGAACAGTGGTGTTTTAGTCTTTCAACAACTCCTATTTGCTGTAGGTGCTGGGATTAATTAATTTGATTTTGTATTGCTCTCAAGGCTAGAGCTAATGGTCTGCAGTCCTGTGTGATAATCATACGTATTCTTCGTGACCTCTGTCAACGGGTTCCAACTTGGTCTGATTTTCCAAGCTGGGTGAGTAAAGTTCTTTTGAATGAGTCTTTTTAATACACATGGTACTGCAAGTAAAGCATAGGGAAGCGTTACTACAATTTTTAAATGCAGAGTTTTTCAAGAAGTAGTGTAGGGTTTTGTTTGGGGTTTTGGGATGTTTTTTCCCAACAAATAATCCAGATTCCCTCTAAAAATTTAATTTTCTGAGGTTTTGTCATTTGGAGCTGGAATTTTTTTTTTCCCCCAAAGGAATTTTCTTGTTCTATTGTATTCTTTGTGGGTAGCATTCCTTGTCTAGATTTTAGCATTTTTTTCCTTTACTCTGTATAAAAGTATCTATGTTTTTTTTCTAACCACCTGTTCTGAATTGCTTGGAGTTTACTGAAACTTACTTAAAATAATGTCAGCTGTGCCCAGATAGTTCTGTGGTAACAGAGAGCCTCCTTGGAAGAATAAATCACTGTAATTCCTGTGATCATTAGTATGTTCCTTCAGCAAGATGAAATACCACAGTGCTTCAGTACAGTCTGTGGATGTCTTGCCGTTAGAATTTTAATCACTGTCACTTAGATCTCTGTGTTGTACTAGGTTATGTCTCTTAATTCTTGCAGCCGAGTGTTCTTGGAGCATTCCTTTTGCATTGACTATCTCAACTGATGCTCTCCAGGAGCGCAACTTCTGCTCCAAATATTAACAGATGTTTGATCTGTGGACCAGATAAAGTTAGTCTGAAATAAAATCTCTGAAAAGTGTATCACATGGAAGTAAACTTAGCTCTGACTGTTTTGTTTCACAGACCAAATCCTATTGCTCTTTTCAGTTTTGGCAGGAAGAGTGCTAACATTACCAAGACAGTTTGAGCAGTTGGCGTTACTTCAATGAGAAATGTTTTACAACTGTACTAAGCTTGCAGACAATTTTATTAAATTTCTTTTGATAATATTTATTGCTTCTGGAAAAAATGTGGAGCACTTACTTCTGTTTTTTAAATATTTAAAGTAAAAAGAAAAAAATAGTTGCAGTTTCTGTGCTACATTTCATGAAAGACATGCTATGCAAATATAGTTTAAAAGAAGCTAAGAAGTATGTAAGTGCCCTCTTAATATCACTATGATACTGAGTTGCCAAAGAATAAACGGTGGCATACTTTTAGAAAAGCATCCTTGGATCTATTGCAACAGCAGGCACATCACTGAAGACCAAGGAATGTTGTTTCTTGTTTCTCACATTATCTGTTCTGAGGCACACCTGCAAGGGAAGAGAGGTATGAAGCAGTGTGTCAGGCCTAGCTGTGTCCCAGTTCTCTCCAGAAATTATTACTGATTTGCTCCTGGTACCTGATGCACTGTCAGTGACATGGATTGACATTGAAGTCTGTGTAGTCAGCTCTTCTTTTGGCCTATTGGCAAAGTCTTACTGATAAAAAGAATGACAGAATTAAAATGATGATTTTAAATATATGTAATTTCTGCCAGTCACAGATGGAATTTCATAGATTGAAGAAATGTATTTTTCTGGATACAGAACTTCTCCTAACCTGTATGGTAGAAACCTGTAACAAACCAAAGAGATGCCAGAGCTTTTCAAAAAGAATCTAAGAAGTTATAAAAATAGAAGAAACTAGGAAGTCTAAATACAGACATTAGTGTACCTATACTCTTTATATACGTAAAAATAAAAACTAAATTAGAAGAATTTTGTCAAGTTCCTACAAGTTAGAAGGAACTCTTATTCAGGGATGATTTTTCAAACTTGAAATCCAGCCTTTCATGCACATAAACACCAAGGCATCATAATTCACGTTTTCCTGGGATTAAGTCATAGACTCTAGTGTATTGTATAAGGATCCAAAAGAACTAGACATGAATAAATGCAAAAACATGATCTGCTGTTTTTTCTTTCCTGCTGTATTTTGCATCATACTTGAAAATGACTAAATCATTGTTGCTAAATCCTGAGTGATACAGTGGGAGTATGGACATACCATGCTTAGGAATTGAAATTTGTCAGTTAAATGGAGCTAAAATAGAAAGGAACAGGCACCCTTAGTGGAGGATTGTAGTCAACACTGCCTATAGTTAGTTGCATGCATCAGAATGGGCTGGAAAGTAAAAGGCAACATCTGAACAACTGTAAACTCGGTAGTAAGGACCAAAATACACCCCCCCAAAAAAACCACCAAACACCAAGAGAGACACATTCTCTGAGAATTAAACTTGACAAAGAGGTAGTATTGAAACATCAATTTAATGCTGAAAAAATACCTAAGGAAAGCTATTTTTTACTTTTGCAAATACCTCTTATTTTTCTGGAAAAAATAGTGAAATAAAAGTAAATAATGGAAATATTCACAGAAAAAACAATATGTAAAATAAAGCTAATCATTTAAACCATTTTAACTAATAACATATAATGTAGAAATTTCAGAAAGCCTGTTTATCATCAAGCCTTCTTTACACTTGTTTAACATCTGAGCTAGTGTTAGCCTATATCCACGGAAAACTTGCTGCGAGCTTCAGTTTTGCTAAACTGAAGAACTGGTAACCACTTAAATGTTAAAAGATGCTTTAAGTTTATGTGCTGTTGTAGAAAAAAATATTTTTTCTATAGCATCCTGTTAATTTAACTAGATATACTGTGTGCTGTTTATATTCATGTGGCTGACAGATTCAGGTGACCCACCATGTTTCATATTCTCTCAAAAAATGGCTGGACAAGTTGTCTACCTACATATGTAGGCTACTACTGTGTAAATTTTTACAAAACTTTTGAACAACTTTTGATGAGATGAAGCATATCAGTACTCAATGTTAATCTTGCACCAGCTTTTTTTTTATTAATTTTTATAAAATATCTGATTTTTTTCCTTTTTAATTGAAAGTATTTGATGATGTGCAATGGTCTTCAAAATTGTGGATTCATAAGTTCAGTTTCATAAGCTTTTTTCTGTTTTAATCCATCTTCTAAATTGACTGGATTGTCTTATTGTTGCTCTAGGCTATGGAGTTGCTTGTGGAAAAAGCAATTAGCAGCGCTACTGGACCACAGAGTCCTGGGGATGCACTAAGAAGAGTTTTTGAGTGTATATCTTCAGGAATCATCCTTAAAGGCAAGTTGCATTTGATCAGTGTCTGTAAACTGTATACTGTAGGCTTAACTACTATAAAATCTGTAACCTTGATTGAAATAAGGTAGAGATGTGCTACTAATTAGCCTAATTGTTGTAGGTGGTCCTGGCCTTCTGGACCCTTGTGAAAAAGATCCTTTTGATACACTTGCTGTAATGACAGATCAGCAACGAGAGGATATTACGTCAAGTGCACAGGTAAGGAAACATATGTGTGAAGTAACTAAATTTAATGGCTGCTTTTGGGGGTGTTTTTTGGTTTGGTTTGGGGTTTGGTTTTTGGTTTTTTTTCAAAAGGAACTATATGGTGGACATGAATTTTCCTTTCTCAGAATAAAGTTTGGTCTTTCAATCAGTCTTAAGCTAGGCAATAAAAATGTCACAACAGAGGATGTATAATAATGTTCATTTTCGCACTAAAATTAACAAGTTTTCCTGAAAAGTTTGAAGCACTCCCATCTATAAATCTATAAATATCTGTAAAGATGCAGTATGTTATTAGAGTTAAAATTACATTGGCATTTAATGTTTTATGAATAAATCTGTAAGTTTGATTTTTAACATTTATTGTATACACTTACATTATTGACCATTCACGCTTGCAGCTTAAGAGGTTACTGCCCCTACATCTTCATTTGATCCTTTTGCTAAACATTGCTATTGTGAAATGGGACATGTGACAAACCTTGGCTGCTTCAGTGCAAGTGCAGCAGCTAAAACACGTGTACATTTTTTTTAAGCTAAGATGATGTACTTTGTACAGAAGCAGCAAATATGGCATACACGTTTTGTTGTGTTGACTCTCTTGGGGGAAGGAAGAGAGGATAATGAGAACTAAGGATACTACCATACACCGCTAATGTTTTTCATTAATTGTTCGACAAAGTACTCAAAATTGATCAGAAATATTTTCTTTCTACCCTTTTTCTAGTTTGCGCTGAGACTCCTTGCATTCCGTCAAATACACAAAGTTTTAGGAATGGATCCATTACCACAGATGAATCAACGCTTCAACATCCATAACAATCGTAAAAGGAGAAGGGACAGTGATGGGGTTGATGGATTTGAAGCTGAGGGAAAAAAAGACAAAAAAGATTATGATAACTTTTAAAAATGTTTGTCATCAGTGCTAAGATCAAAGGTGGTAAGAAGTCCATTTGTTGCCTTGCTTTTACTTCATTCATAATAATGTCTGTTTAAAACATCCAAAACCAACTCGGGAATTAGATTTGGAAGAGAACAACCTAGCTCTTCTGTGAGATTCTGAGTATTTTAATGGATGTACTGTACCAGACAAATTATGGATGGAGAGACTGCAAATGGAAACTCTGTTGTCACAGGAAAAAATAGGTTTTCCCTCATTGCATTTTCTTTAAATGTGTTGATAACTTTAGTACTTTTCTTCTTTTTTTTCTTTTTTATTAACAAGTGCGTTGTCTTCTTGACTGTATTTAATGCAGCATTTGTGCTTCTGTTGCTATGTGTATTTTGACTTTTTATTTAGAAGTTTTTTTGTTTGCCTTTGACACTAGTTGTATAAGTTACTTTGTGTTAGATAGTATAAACTGTTCCCCTCCCAATTAATATTTTACAGACCTTTTTTTTGTAAAGTGAGACTGCAGGATTATGGTTTTTTTCTAAATGTGAAGGGGTTACAACACATAATTATCCTGCCATTTGAGTGCTCAGAAGTAAATGTTTTTGCCAATCTTGTGGCATTTGTCTCCTTAGTGTGATATAACAGTGTAATTAAGACAAATCTGTGTTAATCTAATCAAGTTTGCTGTTAGTTGTGCATTAGCAGTATAAAAGCTAATATATACAGTATGGTCTTGCAACAGTTTTAAAGCAGCTGCATAATTGATCGAAGTTTTGCATGATGTTTTTGTTTTTAATAGAAGGGCTTTTAAATCTATCATTTTAGGTTAAATGCGTAGGTCTTTGTATGATTGACTTTGTGACATAGCAAGGCCAAAAAAATAACTTTCTGAAATTTCTTTTCTCAACATACAAGCAAAAGCGGGCATTTCCCATTTAGGCAAAGTTAGTCATTCTTTTCAGTCAACTTTGTCAATATGATATTAATGCCTCTCAGCCCTTAAAATAAATGTTTGTCATATCAGTGCCTGTGAGGTTATTCCTTATAGCTATTCCTGTATAAACTTTCTGTGATTTTTTTCAATGATTCAAATTTTAAAAATGAAGTATTACTGAAGAAGTGAAGGTTATCAAAGAAAAAACCCAGAAAATTATTTGATGTGGCCATAGTGTATGCTTATGTCTCTTTCAAAAAGCTAAATATAGCAGTGGTGTAAGTAAAGTTACATCATACTGTTGATGTATGCTCTGGTACACAGGTGTGATTTGTTGTCACAGCACTACAGTGGAATACACAAATAAAACCTAAAATTTATTAAATGACTAAAATTCATTGTACACTGGAAGCTGAAGTTTCACTTGTTCTGTTCCATGCTTTGTTGCAAACCCATAAAACACAGATTAATATAGACTAACATTCCAGTAACTACTTTATCAATGGTTGTAAGACAGTATCACACATTACAAACATAATTTGTTATTTCTGGTACCATTTATTAAAAAAAAACTTTTGTTCCATTTTAAGGTCAAATTTATCTTTGACCTTTTTAATAAGTAACTCTTGGAGTAGCGGGATGTTTCTATTTGCAATACCTACTGCTAACAGCATGGGCCTATGGAATAAAAATACAATATTTTAGAAGAATAGAGGGAGTCTAAAGACTTAAAGAAAAAATTTAATACAGTGTTCTTCAAGCATCAGTGCAATTTTTAAGGGAGTGATTATTAGTGTTTAGCAAATAAAAGGAAAGCTTTCTTACTGTAGGAAAGATTTCTAATTTCAGCATCAGAAATACAGAAAGCAGAAATGCTTTAAAGTTACTTTAAAAAAAGATTACACTAGTTTCTATTGTCCAGCCTTGATACATAGCTCCAAGCATGTGCTTGTTCTTAGTCTTTTTTTCAAGGGGATATCTTGCTGCCATGGTGTCTAGTTAGCCATTACTATTTATTTTGAAAGCTACAGGTGCTATTCGTGTGGCTAGTTCAACTCCATACCAAAGTTTCTTTCCTCATAAAGCAACCTTGTCTCTTCAGGCATGTGACCCTAAAATTCAGGATTAAAAAGGTCAAAGATGTATTTTGGATTTCCTGTATTTTTGTTCTACTGGCTTTTAACTCTTAACCAGTTTCTGGATCTTTTGAAATATTGTATACTTAAAGTGATTCCACATTAAATATGAAGCTGTGACCATGATTTTTGCGCTGTGTGGTGAAGAGTGAATTTGCAGTTTGTTTCTGGTTTTCCTGCCCATTTAAATGTGCTATTTTAGCTAATGTCTTACTCTTTGCTAATCTAAGAAGAATGGAAAAACAAGGTTTTGAAAAGTACAGAGCTAGCTTTGACTCTAAATATTACACTGTGCACTTGGGAAGACAAAACTGAGACCGAGTAACCAATTTGTGAACAAGTAATCATTTTAATATCCTGTGTTTCGGGAATGCTAGCGGTTTACTAATAAGCAGTGTTTGCTTTTTTATTCAGCAACACTGTGTGTTAAATCTCAAAATCCCAGACATCATAGTTGTCATACACAAAAGAGCAACGTCCACAGCAAGAATTTTCCCCTCGGTGCTTACCCTAGAGGAACAGTTTGTGAAAATGCGAGCTGCTCCGTTTTGAAGCTTCTTCAAACTTTGCCTTGTCTGCCTCCTTTGTAAGGGTGTCCTGTCTGTGAGCAGGGTGGTTTCACAGGGGTTCCTGCATAGAGGCATTGCTAGAAATTGAAGTCTGGCCCTGTTAGGAAACTCTAGATGAACTGTTAATCTTACAGAGCTATTAAGTGTGATGGGTTCATTTGCTGCTTCTGGTTTTAGACCTATTTCACTACTCAGAAGTGTTTTAATAGTACTTAGAATTGTTGTACCTAGCAAATTTCTGACGGTTGGAATCAACTTTAAATATCCCTACAACAATTTGTGTGCATATTTAACATTCTTCTTGCTGGTTGAATATCTGCTGATCGTTAGTCTGTTAAGTATTGACATAATGCTGGATTCATTTCTTTATTAAACAATTAATACTTGTTTGGACTACCCAAATGTATTTTAATAGCATAGCATTAATAATAGACAATGAGGATAAAAAAAGGTAGTAGGCACAATTTGCAATCTGTTTTTTTCCACTTACTTTGTAGCTTTACAAAGTACAGTGATAGATTAAACAAAAACATCTGGTTTCCTTCTGTTTACTGGGTTTTTTTCTCTGAAAGTTGTAAGCCAAAGAGCTTTCTAGACAAAAGCTAGCAAATTAATTTTTTCCTGAGAGATTCTTCTATAAATCTTCTCAAGAGTTCTTTTTTCCTTCAGTGTGGTATTTCTCAGCCTTTTTAAAATGAAACAGACATCAAGTCTTTTGGGGAGGACAAAAAAAATCCAAGGATCGTCATCTACAGCGTTGTCACAACAGTTTAAAAATCAGGCTTTATTCTGTAAATGCCTGTTAATTTGTATTCTCCTATTTTCTTCCACTTTCTCGTTTGGATTATGAAAACGTGCATATACCAATACTGAGAGAATTTTGCTGTAGTCTGTTGAACTGCTTTCTGATGCTCTACAGTTTGCCTTTTATGAAATGCTGCCCTAATAATACTTGGCAAGGGTAAAGTTCCCAACAGAGTAAAGGTCTTTTTTTTTTTTTTTTTTTTCATGAGTGCATGATTGGCAGCTATTGCTGGGGATTTTTGTCCTGCACAGTGCACACTTCCCATCAACATAGCCTTAACATATTTGCATTAGACAAGGGTCATCATTAAGGGTCGTCTTCTTTAATACAAGTGTTTTCTTAAACTATTTTGCAAAGCCATGGCCATTAATATGTGCTCTGAAGCCAGCGATTCATTTATTGCAGGGTAGTTTAAAGCCTATCAACTTTCAGAGGCTCAGCCTAGTCTAAGTACTTTAACATATATTCTACATCTATCCTATTTCACCTTGATAGCCTAAACCCAAAGAAACATCTATGGTTGTTTGAAGTTTTCTATGTCTAAAAATCTTAAGATTGCAGAATGGAATAGCAGACCAAGAGAAAATAAATCCCTTTTTCTACAGTAAGAGGTTACTTTAACATTAAAAGGGAGACAAAAAGCCTCGTTTCTACATGAGAATCGCAAACCTTGCTCCTTATGTAAGGTTTTTTCTTTCCTTTTACTGCATGCTGCATCATGTTTGTATTAATTGTGTGCATACATGATTAGGAAGTTCTGCCCAGGGTACGTTGGACAGCCTGATCACAGGCTTCATGTCTGGCATACATTTAAATTTGCCAGTAATGTGCTGGTTATACAAGTTAATGTTTTCTTACTAAGAAAGTAAGCTGAGCTGCATTGCTAACAGGGCACGTCAGAGCAACGTGGGAGAGGTGAAGGTGCCTGAATACAGGGGTGTGCTGTCGTTTTATGTGCTCCTAGGGCATGCACTCCTCCTTTCACACAGGTCCAGGCCCATAGCTGCCAGCCCCCACATGGATACCTCAGTATGCCTTCAGATGCCTAGAATGGCATTGTTTAGGTAACTACCATGTGTTTACATGCATGAGAGAAAAGTGCAGGTCCTTTTAAATTTAAGAATTGGAGCCAGTGTGGTCCGGAGTGCTGCCAATGTAGTCACGTGAAACTGCAGCTTCAAGGAGGTGGGATAATGATGAAGGGAGCACTGTGGTACCAGCAATGGAGTGTTCTTGTCGCAGTAAAGTGCCTATGGTAGCTAAATGCCATCCCAGTTTCTACCAGCAACATTAATAATTAGTGTGTTTTGTAAGTGGAGAGGGAACAGAATAGTATATTTTCAGTTGGAAGGGACCTACAGCGATCATCTAGTCCAACTGCCTGACCACTCCAGGGCTCACCAAAAGCTAAAGCAGGTTGTTAAGGGCGCTGTCCAAGTGCCCCTTAAACACTGACAGGCTTGGGGCATCGACCACCTCTCCAGGAGGCCTGTTCCAGGGTTTGGCCACCCTCTCGGTAAAGAAATGCTTCCTCTTGTCCAGTCTAAACCTCCCCTGGCACAGCTTTGAACCATTCGCACACATCCTGTCCCTGGATCCCAGGGAGCAGAGCTCAGCACCTCCCTCCCCACGTCCCCTCCTCAGGGAGCTGTAGAGAGCAATGAGGTCGCCCCTCAGCCTCCTTCTCTCCAAACTGGACAAGCCCAAAGTCCTCAGCCGCTCCTCACAGGGCCTGCCTTCCCGCCCTGTCACCAGCTGTGCTGCCCTCCTCTGGAGGCATTCAAGGGCCTTCACGTCCTTCTTAACTTGTGGGCCCAGACCTGCACAGAGTGCTCACGCTGTGTTTGATGCCCCCTGGGATGGGGTTTGCCCTCTGGGCTGCCAGGGCATGCTGCTGGCTCACATTGAGCCTGCTGTCGCCCAGCACCCCCAGGACCCTTTCTGCGGGGCTGCTCTCCAGCTGCTCCTCTCCCAATTTATGCTTGTGCCAGCGCTACTGCGTCCCAGGTGCCGAGCCCGGCATTTGTTCTTGTTCAGTTTCCTCCCACTGATGATTGCCCAATGCTCCAATCTGTCTCGATCCCTCTTGTCCCCCAGGAGAGTCAACAGCACTTCCCAGTTTGGATCATCAGCAAACTTGCTAATGGTGCATTCAACCCCTGCATCCAGATGGTTGATAAATTCATTGAACAGGTCAATGGATCCATGATTTTCCCGTTATTTCTCATGTGAAGCAACCAGCTTTCTATGGCCATACGTATCTACGTATCAAGAATGTCACCCAATACATTTTCATTCCCAAATGTATTGTTTCCAATAATGTATCCGTATGTCTCAAGTTCATTATAATTTTGGTGTTCTTTTACAAAACCAAAGGCACACAGAGTTTAGAAGGAAAATATCTGCTTTTCCCAGCCTTTTTCCCTTTGATGGTGAATCACCTCAATAGCTGCATTTTTCCAGTGAAAAGTAGTCTTTGAGTGATTTATAACTTTGAGAAGAAAGGGGGAAAAAAACACCAGGACAAATGGTATCAGAAAGAAGAACATAACTGATTAAGTGGGTCCAACTGAAGATACAAAATGAGGAAGGCCACTAGAGAGCTACAAATCAAAGCTACATTAAAAATGAA